GAAATGGAAAAACATTAGGCATTGGAAACGATCATAATCAAGTTCATGATGTTAACAGTGATTCCACTTCTGATTTCCATTGTGAGCTTGGATCGTTTGAACACCAATTTCGTTTAAATGATTTGATATTTCAGTTAAATTTAATTGAAATGAATTGATTCAGATTTCAGACGTAAAAACAAACAGTCTGACTRATTCAGATTTCAGACTTCAGCACTACCTCTTAAAATTCAGAAGTGAATTCAGACTTCAGACTTCAGCACCTCTTAAAAAACAAACGCCACCTTAATGTGTTGATCGTAATTAATGAACTTTAATCATCTTTCATAAATATCTCATCATCATAATGAAATGAACTATCATCATTTTCCATAAATATTGATTGATTTGTAAGGTTTGTAACAATTATATATAAATATGGAAAACAATAAAAAATATGAAAAACTAAGGTGGCGTTTGGTTCGTAGAATATTTTTGGATGGAATGAAATTTGTTAAAAGAAAATTTTGATTTTGAAGGAATTAAATGGAATGTTGTCAGGTTTGGCCACCTGTTTGGTTGACGGACATTGAAATAGAATCTGTCTATTTGGTTGGTTTACAGAATGTAGCTTTGGAATTGGAATGAAATATTAGTAAATGACTAAAATGTTCTTTTTTGAAAATTTTAATTTTTTTAGAACTAAAAATATTTTAATAAAATAATTATTTAATATGTAAAACAATACAAAATACACAACCCAAATATAGCCATAAGTCAAACGACGTTACTAAATTAACGGTGGTCGGTGGTTGTTCAGATAGCCGGTGGTTCATGGTGGTTTAGATCGGTGGTGGTTCATAATAGTGTTGATCCTTTCTCTCAGTGATTTGATAATGATCATTTTTATCTTACTAAGTGTACTATCTCTTTATTCAGTTTTAGCAATCATCACTGAGTCTGTTTAGTGATAGCTGAACAGGTATTGTAATTCTCTCAGAGACAAATATTCTTCAAAAAGACAAAACTCACACCACAAAACCTTTAGTGATATCGGAAGACACAGACAAGCAAGTTCGTGATCTGAAATGGTTTTCAGTGATGACAAGTCTGTCTACACAAGTGTGAAATCTACTCAAGATTCAGCGAACATTGAAGAAACCTCAGCATTATTCCAGTGTCAACGATCAAATGAATTTTGTTGAACAAGATTAGTTTTGTTTCTTGTCCTTCTACACGCAAAGAACAAACTTATACCTTTTAGAGTAAAGTACTGTACAAAGTCACTCTATTATCTCCAAGCGTGCTCACCTATTTGTTAAAGACTACTATTCATATACGGCAAAAGCCTGTATATTTGCAACAAAGAACAAGCTCACCTCTAGAAGCATGTCACGTGTTTTATACCGTTTGAATTGCATTTAACGCAATGGGTATAAATAGTTGAGAAGTTCTTCCTTCTCAATTGTCTCCCTCATCTCCCTCAACCACTCTAACCAGTGAAGAGCACAAGACTTCTTAACCTTTTTTTTAGCAAGTCTTTTCTTTCTTGCTTTTTGTATCTTGTGTGTTTCTTTGATTGTTTAGATTAGTTCTGTATCTTATCTCTTCCGTAAACAATCTATAAAATTTTGTATTGATCTTCTTTATCAATAAAGAATTTTTAAAAGTAAAAGTTTTTGTGTTTGTATTCATCCCCCCCCCCCTTCTACAAACTGTTACCTTTAAACTCTTGTGAATCCGTTTGGGACCAACAAGTGGTTCAAATGGCGGTGGTCGACAGTGGTTCAGATCGATGGCGGTCCACGGTGGTTCAAATGGAGGTGGTTAGCGGTTGTTCAGATGGATGGTTGTTCAGATCGTTGGTGGTCGGCAGTGTCCGACGGTGATTCAGATCAATGGTAGTTGTCGGTGGTCGGCAGTGGTTTAGATCGATGGTGATGCATGTTGCTTTAGGTGGTGGTGGTCAGATGTGGTCCATATCGGCTGTGATTCAGATTGGGGGTGGTCTAGATCAGTAATGGATCAGATCGGTGATGGTCGACGGTGGTTCAGATCGACGGTGCCCAGCGGTGATTCAGAACGGTAGTAGTTGGCGATGGTTTAGATCGATGGTGGTCCGTGATGGTTCAGATGGCGATGGTTGACAATGGTTCAGATCAGTGGTGGTCCATGGTGGTTAAGATGGCGGTTATCGGCGGTGGTTCATATCGATGGTGGTTCAGATCGGTCGTGGCCAGCGGTGATTCAGATCAGTGGTAGTCGGCGGTGATTTCATATCGACGGTGGTCAAAGGTGGTCGACAATGGTCATATTGGGTTTTATGAGATTAGAGTATATTGGGTTAAGGGCATATTTGGTATTCTGAAATTAGAGAATTTCATTCCATCAAAATATCATGTAGTTGCTAAGGAATGTTAAATTCTTTTATTTGGGGAATTTGAAGATTCCTTTCGTGAAAAAGAATGAACCAAATGAGGGGATAGAATTTGGTCTATGAAATTCAACATTTCAATTTCATCAGATTTTTTCAAAATCTGCGAACCAAATACCTCATAAAAGAACACCCTAGTAACATTCATCCATATAGTATGCACATGTGCATAACATGGAAACATGTATAGAAATCAAGAAACATCTTCAATTAGTTGTAATGTACATGTGCATGTCCTACAGATAAATACTTATTAATGCACATCTTCAATCGCTCTCTTTATCTTTGTCTATCTATCTATCTAGTCCCTCCGTCCCACAATCAGTGTTCACAATTGAAATTGCACACAGTTTTACACAGATACAATTATTACACTTTTTTGTTAACCAAATAACATATTTACCCTTATTTCATTTCTCTCTCACACAACTATTAAATATTTATGCATTAATTAAGGGTAAATTTGAGAATTTGGTTATTTATTTTTGAAAGTGGACACTTATTCTAGGACAAACATAAATAAAAATGTGGACATTTATTTACGGAGGGAGGTAGTATCTATCTATCTATCTACATATATATATATATATATATATATAGGGGCTGGTTCAAATACTAACCCAATATTTTGTGCAAACTATGCTAACCCATCTTAATCGTTCATTTTCTCATCTAACGGTTATTATTAAATGAGATTAAATAAACAATAATTTAATTAATATATTAATTAATATGTGTATGAACAATTGTTCAAAGGATAAATTGGTCAAAAATTTGTATTAATTAATATGTGTATGAACAATCGTTCATCTTCGTGCCTATATCAAGGTATGAACATTCATGTGAACCCTATGGTGTGAACCCTAGATATATGAACATTAACTACA